GAGTCGGGTAGCGCGGAAATTTTTACTACAGATTCACTGAATGAGAAGGAACAAAATGTACCAATCTGATTTTCTCTGGGAGCACTTTCATTTTTTTTTGTCAATTGTACAAAAAACTTACAATTCACTCATATATCTCATCCGTCCATGCAGAAACACATAGAAAGAAAAGAAAAAAAATTCAAGTCCGACTAAACAAACGCCATGTATCGAACCATGTCGATAAATTCAGAAATAATATCTTATCCGGTCACACTTTGGCTTTCTTTTTTCTAGTCACACTCCACATATTACTTCATTTTTATTCCATTCTTCACTATTTCGTAAACAATTTAAATCAAATGACGACTACCATGACGCTACTTTCTTTTTCTGAATTTAGTTGATACATTCTCCAGCATAGTCTTTTATATAATTGCACATGATTTTTTTCTCTTCTTTCTGTTACTTTCTAAATGTACGAAAGAAATATTTGTATTTTGCGTCTTTATTATCTCGACAGGCCAAAGTCAGAAGAACATCGTACGAGTATAAAAATAAAATTTCAAGACCGAACTAACAGAATCCTCTGAGGGTGTGGATAAAGGACATTAAATTCATTTTGAACATCCACCCACACTCTAGTTGTTTTTTGAGTCCTATGTTACTGATATATAGACTGTAAAGAACATAGTTTATTTCCAAAAAAAATGAAGAAAACGGTTTAAAATATTTGAAATGGTTCGAATTAGGAAAAAAAAGATTAATCTGTAGTTCTTATTTCGATGAATATTGTTGTTTAATTGCATTAGCTTGTTGATAGTATTGTTTAGCTTTATCAAGTTGATTTTTCTTTGCAAAAAGTTGACTTAATTTATTTAATATCTTAACTTGATGTAATCCAGTATCATTTTCCAATTCTAGATCTTTTAAATAGAATTGTTCTGCTCGATCATAATCTTTTTTATCTAATAATAAATTAGCCAAAGCAATAAAAGAATTTGAATCTATTGTCATTTCACACAGACTATCATAATCTTCAATTAATGTTCGATATGTTAAAATCAAATCAAAGGTATTTTTATGTATATAAAGATCTTGACAATAGTTTTTAACTATTTCTCGATCATTTTCATTTATTTCAGATAAGGTTTCTTTTCAAATTTGTGAATAAATTCAAGACATTTCTTCAGATTTCATTTACCTTCTTTCTAAATGTTACAATTTAGTTAAACTTTAAGGGAATCTTAAAGAAAATGTCTGATTTTTAGATTGAAATTAAGAAAACCATTTTTTATGTAACATCGCTTCGATATCCAAGTAGATTTTCTTTTGCTTTTGGTAGTGATTTTGCATCAACTATCAGTTTCGAAACATCCATTGAGTAATTATTTTGTTTTTTGATCTTAATTATTTATCAAAAACTTCTCTGATCGATCTAAATTTCTTTGAATAAATTTGGTACTGAAACTCATTAATTCTCTTACGACATAAAGACTTACCTTGAATGTTATAGCCTTGATCACCTGTGATGTGAATTGGAAAAATAAAAGTACCGAAAATCGGTTGTTTTAAAGCAACCAAATAAAATATGTGAATGATTGAGAGAATGATGACCACGTTCTTTTTTTATAAAAGAAAAGTCATTACTTGGGAGCAAGTAACATCATTTTAATCGACATCAACTTTTCATTGATCAAAGAAGAGATTTAGAAAAAAAACAAAAAGTAACTTTTGAATAATCTTATTTTAATGTTTTCAATTTATTTGTTTGTCAATGTTATGCTCATTTATAAGAAGAAACAATAAAAATGAACATAAATCGCATTCTGATTTGTAATGCGTAATCAGATGATTCTATCAAATGAAAACATGTGTGTGTGTGATTTTCTTATCTTTATTTATTGATTGTATTGATATACTTGAATTATTTGGTTCAGAAAAAGTTTCATTAAATGACGTACTTACTTCTGCTATTCAGTTAGCTGAAGAAGGATATCCTGTCTCAGATATAACTGCTTTTTATTGATCATGTTCAGAAAAATTAAAGAAGCATCGGAGAATGGAAATGATATGTTTAGAAATGGCACAGCACACGAAGCAGTAGAAATAGTGACAATGCCAAAATTTGCTAAAATATTAAGAGAAATTGCTGAAAAAGTTCGAGATGGATTTTATAAAGGATATGTTGCAGAAGCTATTGTTCAATTAATACAGAGTGAAGATGGTTTAATGACACTTGCAGATTTAGTAGAACATCAATCAATACCTGTTCAACATATTTCAATTACATATAATATGAAAAATATTCCACCAGTTCGAGTTTGGGAATGTCCATCAAATGGACAAGGTATTATTGCTCTTATGGCTATTAGAATAGTAGAACAAATGCAAAAACAAAACAAAATACCTTCTTTAGATAAATTAGAACATAATTCAGCTGATATCTTCATGCTCTCATTGAAGCTCTTCGTTTAGAATTTGCTGATGGATGTTATTGTGTAAGTGATCCAAATATGTCACATATACCTATAGAAGAATTATTATCATTAGATTATTTATCTAAATGTGCCGAAAGTTTCGATTCCAAACATGTTAATAAAAAGTTAAAACATGGAAAATCAATAAATTCATCTGATACAGTATATTTTAGTGTTACAGATTGGGAAAAATGCTTGTTCATTTATATTTTCAAATTATGTTGGTTTTGGTACTGGTACTGTTTCGAAAAATTGTGGATTTACATTACAAAATCATGGAAGTAATTTTATTTTAGATGAACGTCATCCAAATTGTATTCAAGGTGGAAACGATCATATCATACAATTATTTCTTCAATGATAACATATGAAAGTGAAGATTTATTAGCGTGCTATGATGTTATGGAACACTTTATGCAACCACAACGTCATCTACAAGTATTTATGAATATGTTACGCCATCATATGAATGTTCAAGTTGCATTTGATGCTCCACGACTTTGTATTGGTCCAAGTATTCCTAATGGCACAGATGATGCTGTCAAAAGTGAAGTCTTTATTGAAGATGGAATATCTGAAGATGTTTTAGAAAAACTTAGATCATTTTGTCATCATGTTAAATTAGTAAAAGACTTGATCGTTCAATGTTTGGCCGTGTCAAATTATTCTTAAAGTAGGCAATGATGAAAATTGTTTAATGTGGGAAACAGGTTCTGACCCAAGATCAGTAGTAGTCAACAATATATAGATGTACATTGTAGTCAGGACATCTTTGTGGCACTTTTATCAAGTAACTGCATTTGGACATATTTATACATCGCCGGAACTGAAAGAATTAATTATCAAATTTTTCTTTTTATTGAAATCATTTTAATTGATTTTGTTCAGAAATAATCTTGTTAAAGTTTCATCCACATAAAATTAATAGTTTAAAGAGAAGAATTTAGATAAAATAAAATATCGAAGAAATTATGTAGACGAAAAAGAAATAATTACTTTCTTCTTGACAATATTCAATTATTGAATATCCTAATATGACTTCAATCTCATGTCATGTATATGTAGATAATTATTATATTGAGCAATTTTTATTTTATACAAAGATCTATACACCTACAGATGGTGATTTGCCATTGATTTTAAGAAAACGCTAATACTTTCGTGTCATAGTGTTGAAAAGTTAATTTAGTACTTTGCCATTAACATTAACTTCGCATTAACATCATGCTAAACACCTATCATAATTATATGCACTTTTTAATAATATAGAAAATTCTATTTAACAATTTATAATCTCATATTGTACTCTTAAAGATCATTTTTTTAATAGTTTTAATTAACTTATGCTGATTAGATCTGTCAGATGTTCTATCATACAGAATGTTTAATCTTCAGTTAATGATTTATTTGACTGATAATATTGATATGACGAGAATATGCACACATATTTTGCATTTCCGTAATTATATCGATGAAATACTGCTGATGGTACATTGAATATATTTTAAAGGAGATTGAGATTATTAATGATATAGTTTTATTTATCTCACATGGTCAAAACTATCTTGAGAGTGTGGTTGTGAGTGAAACGTGAACGTAATATCCAAACACCTAGACCTTGACTCATAAGCATGTTCTTGTCCTGTCTCCTCTTCTTATTCATTCTTCTTCCTTAAAACAAAAGAGAAGAATCTTTTCGACTTCTTCTCTGTTCCTCTTTATCGGTATTTCATATTTTTTCTAAAATAAAATATCTTCATTCTCAACATTCGTTGATTGTCAAAACTTTACATGCTATGGGCTCTGTTTACCAAGCGAAAAACAATTTTTCGAAGACTTAATTGTTCTATATGCAAGCTGATATTATATCTACCGACAAGCATTTTCACTTGCACATGCCGATATCATCTCGATACAAAAGAACATAGAAGATATTGTTGAGAAAATTAACGCAGATTCTTTTGAATTCGGTGTTATTGAAGAAGATGAAGAAGACATTTTTTATTGATTATAATGTCTTTATAACAAAATGTCAAGTTAGTTTTCTCTAGATACAATTGGCCAATTTATAATCGATTCAAGATCTCATTTAAAAATAAGCAAGCTCAAACAACAATGTGTATCATAAGGAAAGATTAATTTTATCGAATGAATAAAAATCAGATAGTTTAAGAAAGATTTGGTAGCACAAAAATTGAATGAAGTCAATATGCCGCTGAAAATTGAGGGATGACATTAAACTTGATTTACGAAGCCAATTCGAAGTTTTAGTTCAAGCAGTGTGAAATGTAAAACACATTCTAATCGCTAAAAAGACTATATTACTTATGAAAGATTAAAAGAAAGAAGCAAATCATGGATATAAATGATAAAGTGAATAGTAATAGTTGAACATGAAAGACTGTCCTTTTTCTAGTGTAATTTTCTTCTATATGTTCGCAATTACCCGACAATCAAAATTGATTTCAAAGCAGAAAACGTGAATAAGAATTTTTTTCTTTAATAAAAAGAAGACGTTGAGAACATTTCAAACGTTCAACGAATCAGATGAAGTTTTATGAATTATTGATTGTGAAATTATCTACAATACACTTTGTTTGAATCAATGTGGTAGTATGATTTTGAAATGAATTCAAGATATCGCGTAAATATGATATACAACATAAATTATGTCATTCGTTTTAATTATTATTGATGAATAGATTTTAGTTTTTAAATTTATTTATATCTATAGAACATTTGAAGAAAAACTATGACAAACAATTTCATTAACAACATCTTTGACTTATTTATCTGTCAAAAACTACCTGTGTGCAGTAAGTATAAACAATTTACAAACGTTGTTTTCTTAAATCATGACAAAGGCAAGACATAAATAACAATAATAATGCAAAAAATCGTCGTAATTACGGCAGCAATAGTGGTTACAATTAATTTTTCTTCTTCAATATTCCATTGATTTTTCATTTTGTGTATCCATCGATAAAATCGTGCACGTTTTGAAGTATCAGTTCGAAGAAATTCATAGCAATCAATCGATGGTTCATCAGGACTACAAAGTATACTCAATGGATCATCGACATTCAAGGGCATAATCATTGTCAAATGAGAAAAAACAATGACTAATGCGGAACATATCATAGAGCTGATATGAAATATTTTATCAAAAACAAGTATTCGATCACTACCATAAACGATATCGACGATAATAAAGAAAGCAATAATACAAGCGGACAAACGAACAGTTCGATGCCATATATATATCATAGTAATGACAATCGATGAATAATAAATCAATATAAATTTAGTCCAAAAAAAATAATTATTTATGTACATTTGAAGAGAACAAGGCAGATCTGTAAGATTCGAACAACCGTTAATTAAAGTACTTTTAAATGTGATTAAACGAGCATTTGTAAAAGAATAAGAATGATATTCTATTTGACTATAGTCGATATATGGCACTGCACAGAGCCAACCAATTATCGACAAGAAGAAGAATAGAAGAAATTGAAAGAGAGGCGTCATGTCTACTTTATAGTCCTGTTGATCCGATTGTTCTAAATAAAATACAATATAAAAATTCTTTTTTGATAAGTGAAAATAATTGATATGAAATATGACTAAAATCAGAGATGGAAGTGCTTTGGATTTTTGACGATCAGTATCGATTCAAACAGGTCAGACTGAATATGATCGGCCGATCTGAAGTTAGTACTGATACTGATACTGATACCGATTCTGTATGAAATAACATTAAGATCCACAAGTATATTTTTGGAATTCATACAAAATAATTTAAAGATTTCATAATGAAAGTTAAAAATTCGTTTTCTCTTTTTATTAAATGTGACAAGTAAAACTATTCGATAAATTCTCATATTGTTCTCATAAAAGAAATTCACAAGTAGTATGTAAAAATAAATATCTTTTACTTTGATTATTCTTTAAATAAAAAATGACTCAATTAATATTTAGAAACTATTGATCATACCTAAAGAAGAACTTTTCAAATGAGGATGATAATCGGGTAATGTACGAATGTCATTCTTGTTAGTTGTATTTATCATTTGGATTGATCGATTGACATAAGTAGTTGGTGGCCAAGTAGATACCATTTGTTTGAATGTAAAAAACCTTCTCATATGTACTATTAATCTGCCGGAGATCTTACGAACATGACTTATACATCTAGCATTTCGTGTAGAATGTAAAACACCACTTCGATATTTAATTAGCATGTTAAAATCCAAAAAAAATATTTGATTTAATATCTAAAAACAAACAAGAAACTTTTATTTAATATATCATCTATAAAACATTGTTTCCAATATTTTGTTTTTTTTATAAAGATGAAAATAAAATTCTCAATATGAATTTGGTTACTTAAATATAAAAATTCTCTTTAATTTTATCAGATAGTTTCCCTCAAAATTGAGCATATCTGTTTCTATAATACAAAATTATTCTATATTCTCATTGATTTCATGTTTGCATGCAGATAGTAGGAAAATAAAATTCAAAAACGAAAGAAATTGTACTTTTAGCTGCTTCATAATCAATGTCACGGAGAAAATGAATTATCGAACTCTTTTATATGTTGTTATTGTTATATTATTGTTGTCAATAACTTTAAAACATGCAAAAAAATAGTGTATGAGTGTGAATATATGAATGATATTCTTTTCTCATATCTACACCCATGCACTCTCATTGTAAAGAAAATAAAAGAACTAAAGAGATAAAGTGTTAAAAGGAGTAAAGCATATTGATACCTTTAATTTCTTATAGACTTCTTTTGAATAATGATATGAACGAGTTCATTTTCTTTCAATTTTTATCTTTGAAAAATTTTTATACAGACGATCATTACAAATCCAAAATGGCATACACTATTTGTGTAGAATCTGAATATCTATTGAATTTCGTAGAGGAAATTTGGTTTAATTAGTAACAGCTGCACAACTTTCGTTCATTCTTTGTTTGTTGTCCTAAAAAAAATATTCTAATATTTTGAAAAAAGAATTATTCAGATTTTTGTTCTATACAGATGTGTTGTAAATATACAGTGATTTACAACAAATTTTATTGTTTAATACGATTTAAAATAAAAGACAGTTTTAAAGAATAATGAACATATCAGAAAATATAAATAATAAATGCGAAAACCTCGGATTTAAATCCGAGTGTTATGTGTACTGCGAAAAGTGAAGAGATATTTTCACTGTTTTCTATCAATTGAGCCATATTTAGCCTATTTGCTTTTTGCATGCAGTTTTTCTGCATTTTGAGACATTTTTCATGGGTGGTTTTATTAGAAAGCTACGATTTGGTTC